AAAGCCCTCTCTGCAGTAACACAGTGCTTGTATTCAAGTAACCCTCAAGAAAAGTATGAGGCTGGCAATTCGGATGCCAAAGAGAAGCCGTAAAGTACCATATTTTTCCGTGTATAAGATACCCCCATGTATAAGACACTTTTCCAACCCAAAATTAAGAAATCAATATTTTAAACATAAAACAGAACATATTTTTATTTAGGAATTACTGCAGGTAATGTTCACATACCAGTACTATGATATTATGCAGCATATCACTTTATTCAGCCTCTGTTGCATCACTGTTCTCTTCTTCATCACTATTGGTTCCAGACATATCAATTTCTTCTTCAACTTCTATTGTATCACTGCTGACTGCTGAGTCACTGTCTATATATGTGAGATTGTCCTCAATTCCATCCATGGCATTGCTGATTCCACATTTCCTGAAGGACTTCACAATCACCTATTGCTTGATGCCATACCACGAGTTTAGGACCCAAATGCAGACCTCAGTAATGGTTGTTTTTTTCACTCTTCCTGTCCATGTCAAGGTATCACCTGCTTTTTTTGTATCCATTTACTCCATTCTTCTCTCATCAGGGCTTTAAATGGCTTGCTGATTGAAACATCTAGTGGCTGTAGCTGACCTGTAAGTCCACCAGGAGTAACTGCTAGGTTTGTTTACAAATCTGATGCAACCCTTTTTGTCTTTTCTGTTAAATGTGCTTGGAACTGATCAAAGACAAGAAGAGCTGGCTTGCGGACCAGTAGTTTTATTGCTAGTTTTACCCAGTGGCCAGATAAGTTTCTATTGAACAAGTACAAAAAAACGTTTCACATAAATGTTAAAGGCACGCTTTAAAATTAAATACCCATTGCATTTTGAAGTTATTTATTACATGTTCTTACAAGCTAATATCTTTTAAAAGTATGACTGGCCACAAGCCTTAGAACAGAAAACACGAGAATTCTCGTGATCCATCCGCAATGTGTTAAGAGCCCCCCAAGTCTTCTGGACCAAAGCTTTTTGCAAACCAAATGGCCATAATGTCTTCATTCATCCATCCCTTCTCTTGA